CTTTTAAAACTTTCTTAGAGGCGGATGGGGACATTGACAGCTTTCTTTGGGACTTTGAACGGTTGTGCACCATCCATGGTGATGCAACCCAAGACCGGGTCCCCATTTTGAGCAGCAAGCTAACCGGTCGGGCTGCAGATGCATTCAGGACTGTACCCGACAGCTACTGCTTGGATTATGATTTTGTTAAGGAACACTTGATGGCCCGCTACGCTCTCACCCCAGAGGCGTGCCACTTAAAGTTCCGGGCACTCAAGAAGAAACCCCAGGACACCTTCACTGAATGGGGACATCAGTTACAACACGCTGCCCGCAGCTGGGTCCAAGGGTGTCAGATCACCAAGCTAGAGGAACTGTTACAACTGCTGTTACTGGAGCAGTTTTACAATGGACTTCCAGGGGATGTTAGACATTGGGTCCGGGACAAACACCCCCTAACTTTAGCCGACGCCAGTTGCTGGGCAGATGGGTACCTGGACAACAGGAGGCTAACCGAGCCCGCCATTCCCCCTGCACCTCGTCTACAACCAGTGGTGCCCACTCCGGTCACCCGAGAATGCCTCAGACCACACACACCTTCTGACCCAAAGCGGTCTGGCCCACGCCGTTATGGCTGCAACCAAACAGGGCACATCCGCATTCATTGCCCCCGGAATCCACCAAGGCCCCAGAGCCGCCAACCCCCTCGGGGCACTTCCAACTTACCCACCAGTCCCTATGGCCGAGCCTCTGCCTACTCCCTACAGGACCACCCGAGTGACACTGCCTCTTCATGGAGGAATTTTACCACCGAGGATGAGGACATCGGGGTCTTTCATGAGACTAACCCTCTCAGGCTGCCACCCTGGACAATCGCCGACATCACCAACAGGCTGTCCATGTCTGTTTCACAGACATTCTACACTGTTTGTTTAGGGAAATGTGACCTTGTAGTCTTTCACTTCTATAGAGTTCCTACTGTATTGTTGGGTTGTAGGGTTTTGTTGTGGGTGGGGGAAACCTGGTGCCAGGCTGTCTGGTGGGACTGAAGGGGGCGGGGATTACTGCCAGGATGTGCTGTATATACTGAACGGTATTTAATAAAGAGAAAGTCATTTTCACCCTACATGAAGTTCCAACTCGTGGTTTGGGGGAAGGATTGGTTTTGAGCTTTAATAGCTGCCTTGACAGAGCACTGGAAAACTTGTGGGACAAGGGGAACATTGGCTGAGAAGCACTGCTCCGCACGAGGAAGCCCAGGCGGAACGGTTCCACCACATATAGGATAACAGGAAGTACTTTCATCTTGATGAGGTTAATTTTGCTAATTAAAGACAAGGGGAGATTTTTCCAGGCTTGGACTTTCTTCTTCAGAAAAGCAGTGGAATGAGATTAAGGCTCATATAGTCAGCTACATTTGCTGTAATCTGAGCCCCAAGGTAAGTTAGTTGAGACAACCATCGCAGTGTAAGAATAGGGTGAGCTACGGTCCGAGCACCCAGGTCCAAAGGTAATATAGACAATTTGGACCAGTTTACCCTAAAGCCAGAATAAGTGGCAAAATAATTTAGGATGCGCAGTGCCACTTGTAGCGATGGCTCTGGGTCCTGGATGAAATGAATCAAGTCATCTGCATACAATGCAAGGCATTCTTTAATGGTGCCCACCCTTAGGGCCTCCACCACTGGGGAAGATCTCAAACCTATAGCCAGTGGCTCCATCATTAACGCAAACAAAAAAGGCAAAAGTGGACAGCTTTGCCTTGTGCCCCTACCTATGGGAAAGAAGGAGGAAGCCGAAAGTCCAAGCCTCGCCACCACCCGGGCATCACTGTATAACAATGTTACCCATCAGTGGAAATGTGGTCCAAAGCCCGTAATTGCCAACACAATATACATGTATCCCTAGTTGACAGAGTCGAATGCCTTCTCTATGACAATAGATACCAAAACCCTAGTAGACGGATCATCCTGGGGAAGTTGGAGGTGAGTAAATACCCTACGAAGATTAGTGTCAGTCGACTTACCAGGCATAAAGCCAGTTTGGTCAATGTCCACTATGGACTGTATACCTGTTGCCAATCTGGTAGCTAGGACTTTGGTCAGCATTATTAAATCAGTATTTAACAGGACTATTGGCCTATAGGAGGCACAGTCTGAGGGATATTTCCCTGGTTTAGGCAAAAGGACCATGTGCACCTACAACATTGAAGAAGGGAGGATTCACTTCTCTAGGCAATGCTCAAATAAGCATAGAGTTTAGAGGCCAATATTTCATGGCAGGTCTTGTGTAGGTCTACCGGGATGCCATCTGGGCCCTGTGCCTTGTGAGGGGGGAAGGCCCTAATGGCAGCTGCAATCTCAAGTGGGGTTATCTTGGCTTCAAGTGATTCCTTGTCTGACTCCAATAGTGTTGGAAGATTTAGAGCGGCAAGACGATGTTGTAGGGAGGCAGTATCATATGGTGGCACAGGAGAATATAGGGTGGAGAAATATTTCACAAACTCAGCCATGAGTGGTCAGATCCCCACCAGCCACCCTGATAGTTGGAATGGAGGAACTGACTCTCTGATCCACCACAAGCATGGCCAGGAGCTTGACATTTTTATCACCTTGAGTAAACAGAGACTCAGCCTTATGTCTACATTCAGTATGAGCAAGATCAGAGAAATGCACCGAGAGGAGACGCCTGGCCTCCAGCAAGGCAGTATAGGATTTGGCTGATGGTGACTTAGCGTGCTCCTCCGTACATCTCCTCTCCCGGTCCTGTAGCTCAAGAATACCACTGTTATGATCTTTTTGTGCTGTTTTGATAACTGATATTAATTCACCCCCTTAACACAGCTTTGAATGCATCCCACATCAAAGGGGGCAAAGCCGAGTCCAGCAAAAATGGAAGTCAGAGGGTTGAGGCAAACCATTTACCACTGACGGGGTGCTTACTGTGGACATAGATTACTCCTATATTTAAAACCTTCATCTCAAAAGGAAAAAAAGGTTTTTGTAACTTCTTAATAAGTGTTAGCTGCAGTTTGGCTTCAATTTGTTAGTCACTTATGTAAAATCCATGTAAATCTGCTAGTGCATCTAGCACTATTCTCTCCACTGCTGTCTATGGGATTCTCTGTTGCTCTAAGGCTAGGTTCACACCTACGCAGTTTGCGTTTTGTAGCGCGTTTTGTGTTTTTGCCGTGTTTTTCCAGTGTTTTTGATGCAAAAACACACTACTTGCTTTTCTTCAGCGTCTCCATTGAAGTCTATAGAACCAAAAATGCAACGTTTTGCATTTAAAAAAGTCCCTGACCCTTTCCAAAAAACGCACCGGGTGAAAAAGCAGAGATGTGAACCGCACCCATAGGAAATCATGTTAAACGGACTGCTGTGCGTTTCCGCAAAACACAGCAGAAAACACATAGGTGTGAACCTAGACTAAAACAAGAGGTGTGTTACTGGCCAGATCACCTGGTGAAAATAAAGGGAAAAAGCCTAAAAAAGAAAACTAATGCAGCCAAAACATCTAAGGATTGAGAAGCTGCAATATATTAAATATCTGTTTTTGAGTTTACATAGATACACTATAAGGCAGTGTACACTTGTAAATGGGTCCTTAGGGTCTCTGTACAGATGTAATAAAATAATGAATCTCACAGATGTGTACTGTTATAACCAGCAGCTGCATCCCCTCTGTCACCACAAGGATAGTATTCCACATTGTTTGGCCGTTTTAGATAGGGTCACCAGAGCCAGATGCAAAAGCATATGAACATAGAATTAGGAGACGATCTGAAAATCCTGTACATTACATTACTTTTTAATTAGAAACAGAAATCCAACAATCTTCTCACACACACCCATATATAGAACCTATGTATACACTGTATATATACAGTATACATTATATACACACACCCATATATAGAACCTATGTATACCCTGTATATATACAGTATACATTATATACACACAGCCATATATAGAACCTATGTATACCCTGTATATATACAGTATACATTATATACACACACCCATATATAGAACCTATGTATACCCTGTATATATACAGTATACATTATATACACACAGCCATATATAGAACCTATGTATACCCTGTTATATACAGTATACATTATATACACACACACCCATATATAGAACCTATGTATACCCTGTATATATACAGTATACATTATATACACACAGCCATATATAGAACCTATGTATACCCTGTATATATACAGTGTACATTATATACACACACCCATATATAGAACCTATGTATACACTGTATATATACAGTATACATTATATACACACACACACCCATATATAGAACCTATGTATACCCTGTATATATACAGTATACATTATATATACACACAGCCATATATAGAACCTATGTATACCCTGTATATATACAGTATACATTATATACACACAGCCATATATAGAACCTATGTATACCCTGTATATATACAGTATACATTATATACACACAGCCATATATAGAACCTATGTATACCCTGTATATATACAGTATACATTATATACACACAGCCATATATAGAACCTATGTATACCCTGTATATATACAGTATACATTATATACACACAGCCATATATAGAACCTATGTATACCCTGTATATATACAGTATACATTATATACACAGACACAACCTATTTTTGTGCGTATTGTTAGCACTGAACATTGCTTATGTCCTTTCTCTGTGCAAGTCCATCAGTCTAGTTAGAGTGAAGACAATGCACACCCTATAATTAACTTCTCATATTTCACCAGGGATGCTAGTCGCAATACTTATACATAAATCACCTTCAGAAGAGTATGAAACAAAACCATCAAAATATGCAACAACAATGTAATGTCAAAAAGAACTCAAAATGTACTTGCCAGAAAGAATTCTACATTTTTTTTTTTAGCAACCCACCTCCCCTCCCCGAAGCCCATGCATTGCAGATGGCAGCAAGCAGCAGTTTGTGTGGTTTGTTGTGATGCCATTCAATTAGAATGGAACCCCAATGCACAACCACAGCAGTGGGCAATGCACTAGCATATCACAATGCACAGACTGTGCGTTGTGGTGGGATGCATTGCAAAAAAGGGTCATGTACATTTCTTTGACTAATAAGGTACATTTCCAAATGAATTGGCTGCCCTAATGCAATACATGGTAAATTGTGTTAAAGAATAACTAAAACCAGAGATTTGACCGTTTCCCAAAACAATTGCATTAATGACATGCCATGAATGATAACTTTTAGACAAACTCTATCTATGTCACCACTCGCGGGCCAACCTGTATCCTCTTTAGTTTCCTACAATCATCTGGGTGTCAAGGCCCTGGAATCTGATCTTTCTACACTCTAGTCCATCATTCAAATAATAGGTCTACACTACAGATGTTCACCTCAGCCAGGATTTATTGCAATGACAGCACACCACTCACACCCACCCAGAACCATGCTCCACTCTCAAGGCCTATGGTGAGTATGCTGTTATTGCAATAAACCTTGGCTGGAGTTGAACATCTTCAGTGTGGAGTCCATTATATGTATGGTGGACATGAATGAAAACTGTCACATTTGCTTGTGTCTGCACATTTGCTTGGACTCTGTCTGCCCATCTATCACCACATTAAATATGACCTTCATGCCTGTCCACCATTTACGACACCTACCTATCCATTTGTCATGGCAATGTACTTGTCTGTCCACCTGTCATGTCATCAGGCATCACTTGCTTTCTGGTCATATGCTGTTTGCCCATCTGCTGATCCAGAGGATGAAATCTGCCAAACTACCTAATCACAGAGCATGGGTGCTGCTTGCCTGCCACCACTACCACAGCAGACATGGTTGTCCTGTGTGATCATATACTGAATGTCCTCTGTCTGATCACCTTATGCTGAGTTTGGATGAAGCTGTCCCCTCTATGGGTGCTCCCTGTCATCTGTTCCCTGTTCCCACCCCCATGCCCAGAGCTGTCACTGCCCCCCTACGCTCCCAGGTGAGTGGCGCTCCCCAGTCCCCAAGCATTGTGTGCACACCTCTCAGCCCCTCTCTCCAGTGATCAGCGGGGAGAGGACTTACCTGTAGTAGGAGAGCATCCTATTGCTCAGCATGAACCATCTCTTCTGGTAGCCCTTCAGGTAGTTGGTCCATTGGAAGGGCCAGCCTTTTTTACTGTAGGTATCATGGCCAGGGGTGCTGGGGTTGTCCGGGAGAGCAGATCCTGAATTACTCATGTCTCCAGGCAAGAGAGACAAGGTACGGCAGGGAGCAGAGACACCAGCCTGCTGAAGGAGCCAGGAGGAGGGGTCCTCCTGATTCCCCTGGCTGGCCCGGTTGTAATAGGCCCCCTCCCCTCTGGCGTGCTTTGGAACTGCACCTCAATTTTGGCCATTTTTCTTTGCTCTTAGCATAAAGACCATTCAGAGAAGCTGATCATAGTGAAGTATGTGGAATATCCCATATCACCCTACACCCTCTCCAAGTTTATTCAGCAATAAATACTAAAAGATATCCCTCAGACTGTTTAATAAGCTGGAGTGAATGGACTCTTACTGTGTGCCTGACTGTCTCTGCTCTAATTTGGAAATTATAGTGGCTCCTTTCGGGGTGGTGCTACACATTTAACATATTTTCTGCATTTTTTTTCATATATTCTAAATTATGAGAGAGAAACCTTCAGAACAGAGGTTTGTGGAAATGCACTAAAACACATTCATTTCAATGGTTCTGCTTAAAAGGGTCAGTCTACCAAAAGCATTCTTTTAACTGTAGGTGAAACATGGAGAGGTAAACTTAATTTCTTAAATGTCTTGGATACTTCTGTACTGTAATCTCTTTGTCATAATTCCTGCCCAGCCAAGGTTTTGGTGGCTCCTGCCCATATTGGTTTGTTGCATTTCTTCCTGTCACATTCACCTTAATATAAAATAAATAAATCAATCCAAGACCCAACAGGGAAAGTAGGACCCCTCATAATGGTCACAGCAGAAATACAGACCCAAGAAACCAGGATATCTCACCAATTTGGTCCACAAGAGATATAAAATATACCAACCGTTTACCAAAAAACTGAAATATAAGTTTTGGGTGGACTGACCCTTGTCAACACACAAAAATGCCACATTATTTTTTGAAAGTGACTAAGCTGTAATGCATTTATTATACTACATATGCATGAATGGAATTTTGACTTGATACACATATTCATGCAGTAAAAAGGACATATTTGTATTGCTGGCCATACAGATTCCTCCATACACACTATACAATGTGGACAGACGAATCCCCCAGCTGGGCTATTGTATAGTGACCTCTACTAGCAGAGGCTGCCACAATACTCAAACAGTGACTGCATCTCCTCCTGCTCTAGGCCAGTGACATAAATGCTGCTAAGATGGGTTACCCCTCAGCTGCCTGGGCTGAGGACGCCATTTTTAAAGCTGGAAAGAAATCAGGGATCTAACATTTTGAAGTGGAACTTCAGTCCCACTCTGAACAGGCTCCACCTTCCCTGGCAGCGCTCCCACAGAGCTCTGTCCAGCCTTGGGTCCTCACAGAGCTCATTGGTGCATATGTGCATGGGGAAGACAAGGGAGGTTTTGGGTTTATCTGTTAGTGCTTTTGCTCGTATGTGGGAAACCCGTTTGCACTGTTGGCTGGGAAAACAGGAACATGTACAGATGTACTGCAGGGCTCTTCGGGGACAAGAGAACTCTTTCTCGCAAAGGAGGCAGCGAGAACATCTTTCCTAGGCAAGAATCAGAGACTGGGGACATCTGGTCACCCTATCCTACAGGGCCACCTACCAAATTAACTTTGGCTTGTTCATCAGGAAGACTAAAAAACAGTGAATGGCCAGCTTATGGATCCTACTATTCACAGCATTCTGATGAAAAAAAAAAAAATGAATGTTTACATCAATGGCAGCTCAAGCTACAAGACAGCTGATAAGGAGCAGGTTTCCCATGTTCTATATCTGTACATAACTGCCTAAACACAGTGTTGTCATGACACTAAACAGCACTGTGTTTCTAAACAGATCCAATGGACATTGACCCGTCATCTTCAGAGGGTCTGGCTCTTCCAGTACACATCCAGCCTGACCTTGTGAATCAAGGTAATTCCCTCCCAGGATATTATGGGACACTTCAGGTAGCTCTAGCGCAGTAATCCCATTATGTATAGATGAGAGCAGAGGTATGCAGACTGCACAGCTTGTACGCACGTTCTATTGTGTGGCTTGTAGTTGTCAGGTCTACATGGCTCGCTCCCAGGATACATTCTCAATAAAACTTGTTTGGTATTTCATGGTAAGAAAAAAAAAAAAGGTCGAATAAAGCTTCAGAAACACTAGAAGAGTTAATAGCTTGCAGTCATTCACAAAAATTTAACTCACAACAAGGACACCCTTACAAAAACAACCTTTGTAAGCAAGTGTCATTCATTCCTGGAGCATTCAGTGCCTTTTGTAAGGGTCAGTGCAAGAATGTCAGTTCACCAGAGATTTTCCACAGTAATGCTTCTCTGACGCCTAATTTATTGAGCGTTGGAGGAACTTGGAATATACTGCCCACATAAAGGCCTCACCATCACCGCCCTGCTATACTGTCTAATACAGGGAGTAGCTAGATTTAGTAGTCTGTTACATGTTCACTGTACGTTCACGTTATCCCAGATAATCTGTTAATGCTTTTACTGCCTGACAACATTATACTGCTGTGCCCAAAGCTATCATATGATTTACAAATGGATAGTCCTATCATTGGTTGAAAGATCATTAAAGCACACCTTCACATGTAGGGGATAGGGGAGTCCCCCCTCTCACTCACCCTCCTCATACCCCGCCCCCCTCTCTCACCCCTCATCCCCCATCTCTCTTTCTCAACCCTTCTCTTACCCCCTTTCTCTCTCACCCCCTCACCCTCAGGACTCCTGTTACATGGAAAAAATTATTGGGGGGGTGGGGGGTGACACCATGTTTAACCACAGCAGGTGGCACCAACCCTAGTGATGTCACTGTGTGTAGAACAGGATTTCTCAACCAGGGTTCCTCTGGAAGTTGCTGGGAATTTCTTGAGCAGTGAGCAATGACAGATTGATCTCCCACCAACAATGACTACCAGAGAAGCAGTTTCCACTCACATTCAATGGTTACTTCTACAATGATTACCACAGCAAGGTTTTTTTCCACTGACCACCAATTTAAACGGGCATATCCCCACTAATCACCGATGTAAGGGGGCATTTCTCCACTGACCACCATTTCAAGTGGATACTTTTCCAGTGCTGACTAGTGTAAGGAGACACTACAATGTTCATGGTCTGTGCCACTTTTCGGGCCATTATTATGTTTATTTTCATGGTTGACATATAATACAAGGGAGGGTTGTAAAATATTTGGCTCTGAGTGTCAAATATTCTGGGTATGCCATATTCTCTATTCCTTTAATAAACATTTCAACAGCTTACTGATCTGATATTTTACTGTAAAATATAGATATAGTAATTTTAGCAGGACTTCTTTGAGACATCAAAAACGTTTTTTTCCTCCAGGGTAAAAGGGTCAAGAAAGGCTGGAGTAGAATATAACAATCCAATATGAACTTGGTGTAAAACTGAGAGCAAATAAAAGCAGAGGTGAGACAGCCAATCCAATGTGAGTTGCCATTTTAGAGCAGATTACAAGATGAAAGTTATATCCAATTGGTTAGTGTGGGCAAAACCACTATATTCTCATACACCATGTTGCCAAGCATCTGATAACGTGTCTTGCCTTACCATACAAAGAAAAAAAATATTTAAAAGGAATTGGAGGGTTTTCTATGGAACTGAACATTTAGGACTGTCACTGCGTTGACTCATTAAAGTGAGACATAGTATGACTGCTAAGAAATAATGCATTAACTCCAGGGTTATAGTTTATATTCCCTCTCACCAAATGAAGAGTGTTTGTTCGGTGCTTGTCTTTTCATCCAGTTACTTCCATTACAGCAAGCATTAAGTGGATTCCTTCCATTTAACATTGGACGTGCACTGATCTCATCAACCCAATGTCCCATCTGAATGTCATTCCATGAATAAATACAGTGGGAGTTACTACTTAGAAACTGTGACTTTGCGGAATTGTCTCCGTCCCAACATATGCTGTGGAGGTCCATTCTTCTGGTTTTGTCCATGTCCAGGAAGGCACGTTGGTGCCAAAAGTATCCACAAATAAAGAATAACACATGTCCAACAAGAGGCCACCTTGATCCAAAATGTGGGCCAGCTGCCATGGGTAAAGATGGATTCCAGAGATGAATCTTCATAGCTACAATAGAAAAGGAGCAGCATGAGAACACACTGATCTTCAAACATTAGTCATGTTGATAATTAAACATTACTCATAAAAGAGGTGTGAGGTGTTTGAGTAGATTACCATGGTGTGTGACTTTATGAATACATAGTGAACACCTCGCTGTACTCTCTGGGGTAAACATTTCTCCTCTTTAAAGAACACCTATTATGTTGGAGAAAACAATATACTGCAAACGAGAAAAGTAGGGTATCATGGATGGGTGGGACTTTGGGCGCCCTAGGTGGGGACACTGGAAACATCACTCACTAATGCCCACTAAGCATGTGGAGGCCACAGTCATGAGAATTCTACATTAAGGTGACACTCCGACTTAGAAGCAAACACAACTTTATGGCACAGTTAACTCTTTGCTTTCCATTTACAGCGACTTCACACTGGTATACTGTACTAGACTTCCTTCACATGGTGCAGAGTCTCTGAGGTGGATACTGCGGAGCCCGTGTCATGCTCCCCAGGCTAGCTTAGATGTCACCTCACTCCCAGTGACATACTTGAGACTTCTCATTAGTGTTAAAAGATACGTTCACCTTTGGGAACATGTTACATGTTCCACCCGTTTTTAGGGTGGAACATGTAACATGTTCCCAATGCTACAGCCACCGCCTGCTGCCCCCCTCCATCTGACAGAAGTATAGTGGAGAAGTTCCCTGTACTATCTGTCAGATTTGAAAACAATGTGTCTGTGTGGGGCTTGGCCTACACAGCCACGTCATTCATTAACAGACTTCCATGAATGAATGAATTGCAAGTCCCGTCAGCCTTAGCAGCTGTCGGCTTGTAGTTTTCAATGAACTAACACGGTGCAGTGGTGCGCCATGGTAGTTCAGTGAATCTTCCTGTCAGTATATCTGCTTACTTGTACATCCCGTACAGCAAGCAGATATACTGATAGATCTGCAGGAGACCTGTATAGCACCAGTAATCTGCTGATCGCTGGTGCAATGCTTTACAGACTCCTGCAAACAAAAATAATAAATGCACATTTTTTTACCTGCAAAAAAATTAGCATTTATTATTTTTGTGCAAAAGGTGAACTTATCCTTTGTACACTTTCTAAGGTTCTGTACTTCTGAGGATCCTCTATCTTACTCTCTCTCATGACATAGGGGCCCCGTGCTGCGATGTTGGTCCCAGGTATGGGGCACCGGTTATAGCGAGGGAGTTATACTCAGAAACTCCCTCGCTACCAGAGCACTTCGTCATCCCAGCCAAGTCACAATCTGCACTTGTCGGCTGGCAGCTTTAGCACCAAACACTCCACTGGTTACTCATGGCAATGGCGATCAGGTCTCATTTTGCAACTTTCACCACTTGTTAATGCTTGGTAGTGCCTATTCCCTGATGTAAGCCCTGTTCTTTAGATATGCCATGACTTGTATGCACCCCTTTGTAGGAACTTCACACCTGGCATTTTGTAACTTTAAGAACATTTACTAGAATTTTTTGCAGATACAAATTTAATATGACACAATCTCTCACAGATACCTCCATACACAGTTCTAGGTCATCCTAGCTCAGGCTGCCCGGCTCATACCTTTAGTTAGGAAGAGTCCTTTCAGCAAGGTCCATGATCCAACTCTCGGCAGCCCAACTGAGTATCCTTAAAAAGGAGGACCCAATGCTTCCTGTAGAATTACTACAGCATTCCTTCCTGTCTTTTCCCAGGTGGAAGGCCTCCCCAACATCCTTTCATTTATTATTTATTTATTTATTTCAGGTACTTATATAGTGCTGTCAATTTACACAGTGCTTTACATATATATTGTACATTCACATCAGTCCCTAACCCTCAAGGGACGTACAATCTAAGGTCCCTAACTCACATTCATATACAAAGGCCAATTTAGACAGGATCCAAATGTGTCTATAGGCTGCCTCCTCTATTTATAGCCCACCATAAGGGGGCAGAGCTATGGACATCTGGGAGTTTGCAGATGGAACCCCTGCCTAACACAACGGAAACCTGGTTTACCAAAACTCACTAATATATACTTTATAGAAGTACAATACAGTATAAAAGCAGTGTGCACCCAAAAAGTAGGCATCTGCTTACAGGTAGACATTGTCCTCGATTACCTCTTTGCTTTAGAGTACTTTGAAAAGGTAATATTAAAGCCGATTCCTGGGCATGATCGTTATTGCATACCTGTATTGGTCCATCTTGGCACAATGTAAGTATGTACAGAAATCAGTCACAATAATATGACCACCCACCATAACCCATTGAGGCAGGGACTCCTCTACACCTCTGAAGATATGCTGTGGTATCTGGCACCAAGTTGTCAGTAGCAGATCCTTTAAGTCCTATAATTTGCATGGTGGGGCCTATTATGTTGGAGAACATAATATACTGCCAAGGAAAAAATTAGGGAGGATAGGCATTGTCCTTGTTCTGGTCTTTGCTTTAGAATACATTGGAAGGGTACTGTTACAGCTGAATCACAGGTATGATCTTTATTGCATACATACCAGCTTGGCACAATGTATGCATGTATGTCTCATAACTGAGAGACTGCTAGAGAAGATGACAACCACTACTACAGTAATAGCTGCCATCTTCTGGGTTTTGTGCTGAGCAACTTTGCCACTGCACACTGGCCATAAGGGATGTTTTCAATTACCGTATTTTTCGCTCCATAAGACGCACTTTTTTCCCCCAAAAAAAGGGGGGAAAATGTCAGTGCGTCTTATGGAGCGAATATAAAGCGGCCGGTCCGGTATTTCTGCCGCCACCATGTCAGAATACCGGGCCGGCCGCTCAGCTGTTCTCTCCTGCAGGGACTTACCTGTTCCTCGCTCCAGCGCTGCAGTCTTCCCGCGCTGGCTTCTGTGACAGCTGGGTGCCCACTGCGCATGTGCTGCGCTTTGTGAATGATCCGGTGTTTTCTGGGACACATGACAGGTCCCAGAAGGCGCCGGGCCATTCACAAAGTGCAGCGCTTCTCGTGCATGCGCAGTGGGCACCTGGCTGTCACAGAAGCCGGCCCGGGAAGAAGAGGGAAGGACAACTCCGCGGAAAAGGGAGCGGGTACCTGTCAAATTCAGGTACCCGCTCCCTCTCCCTCCCCAAAGGTCAGCAGTCTCTGGTCATCCCCTGCACTGTCTGCAGTCTCTGGTCATCCCCTGCACTGTCTGCAGTCTCTGGTCATTCCCTGCACTGTCTGCAGTCTCTGGTCATTCCCTGCACTGTCTGCAGTCTCTGGTCATTCCCTGCACTGTCTGCAGTCTCTGGTCATTCCCTGCACTGTCTGCAGTCTCTGGTCATTCCCTGCACTGTCTGCAGTCTCTGGTCATCCCCTGCACTGTCTGCAGTCTCTGGTCATTCCCTGCACTGTCCGCAGTCTCTGGTCATCCCCTGCACTGTCCGCAGTCTCTGGTCATCACCTGCACTGTCCGCAGTCTCTGGTCATTCCCTGCACTGTCCGCAGTCTCTGGTCATCTCCTGCACTGTGTCCGCAGTCTCTGGTCATCTCCTGTATTGTGTCCGCAGTCTCTGGTCATCCCCTGTACTGTGTCTGCAGTCCATTGGTTCAGAATATTTTTTTTTCTTGTTTTTCGCCTCTAAAACCTAGGTGCGTCTTATGGTCAGGTGCGTCTTATGGAGCAAAAAATACGGTAATACAAGGCAATCTCTGATTGTACAAGGTGGTGAAGAGGGGCAATAATTGTACAATCTCCACCTCATCCAATCAGAATACACCTTGAAAAAAAATCTGTGAATGCCAGAAGTGCTAAGTGCACATCCTCCTGTTGACAGGATGCTGTGGGGAAGCCATTCCACACAGGACCCAGAAGTTTATGGCTATCATTATAGTAGTGCTTGCTACTTGGTTGTCAGCTTTCCTTGAAAATCAGGCACCAGGTACTTTAGACAGGAGTACCCTTTGCTAGTAACACATACACCCACCTGCTATTGATGCTTTGTGTAGAGTACACCCTGGAACATTGATGAAGTATCTATTGATAAGAATTACAGTGAGATTTCTTGTATGCAATAAAACTTTCATGGTTGATGTGATTTATTCTTACTGATACTGTGTGAACTAGTGTAATGGGGCTTAGTGTTATTGTGGAGCAATTTGATGGCCGTTGGTGAGGCTAACCTGCCTGTCAGGTAATCTGTTGTTCTGTTCATTTGCTCTATGTATTGATTTGCATACCCTTCAGTAACACATTTATCTTATTCATTCCCAAGTTTCTTGTGGTCTAATTTCTGTGTATTATCAAGGAATGGTAGAATATTAACACTAAAGTTACACAGGTGTGAGTATCCTATAACCAGGTGTGTCAGTGGGGACCAAGCAGTTTAGGGAGTCGTGTCCCATCAACCCGGCTTCTCTGGGGGTAGCGCTACACTTATACTGGCATACTTCAGTGCAGAGAAGGCCTTCAATGCGATACTTACTGAATTCACTGGATGAACAAAGCACAGAATCTATCTTCCTTGTACCCTTGCTTTACACCCTTTGTTTGCTACTACCAGTTCATCTACAAGGCTATATGTACAAGAGTTTTAGGAGTCTGGTGTTGATGAGAAGGGGACCTGTGATCCTCCTAGATCAGTGGTTCTCAACCTGTGGGTCGCGACCCCTTTGGGGGTCAAACAACCCTTTCACAGGGGTTGCCTAAGACCATCGGAAAACACATATTTCCGATGTGTAAAGAGCAGCTACTGTGTAGAAAGCAGCTACTGTGTAGAAAGCAGCTACTGTGTTGAAAGCAGCTACTGTGTTGAAAGCAGCAGTATTAGAGGTAAAACGACACTTCATGAATTATAAATAATGGGTAAATAATTTTATGGTTGGGGGTCACCACAACATGAGGAACTGTATTAAAGGGTCGCAGCATTAGGAAGGTTGAGAACCGCTGTCCTAGATTGTAAGCTCTAATGAGCAAGGCCCTCTGTTTCCTCTTGTACCAAATTGTATTGTAACTGTAATGTCTACCTTCAT